AATCAAATTGATATAAGTTTTACCAAAATCTCTTATTCTACCGTAGTGTTGTTTCTGCCGTTGTATTATTATGAACTCGCCATCTTCCTCTTCCTGTAATTTTATCAGTCAAATTTATGAAGAATTCAATAAAGAGATGTGCAAAAGATATTACGATATTGGACTACGTTATTTTGTAAAAGTTAAGATTGACCAATTATAGTCGAATTAATGTAGTTTTTTGTAAATATAAAAAAAATTAAATATTATACGGAACTCAGGAACTGAATAGAATCGAACCTAACTAAATCGAATGGAACTAAACCCAAACTGTTTCATAATTAAATTTGGACCCGACGGTTCCATTTACTAAATACCCGAAAATTCAAGTTCGGTTCAATTCTCTTTAGAACCGAATCGAACGGGACCATGTCCAGCCCTAGCGATAATGTCAAATCATGATTGTCAACAAACATTGACAACCATCATTGTACAAGTAGTATGATTGATACTCAAATACGTAAAGTAGGTGGAACATTTTTTAATGTAATCTAATTTTCAATTAAGTGAAACTTGATGCTAATTAGCATACATGTATGTGAATAATGAATTGTATTTTTGAATGTGAAATTCTAATTAATATTGATTCAATGAATGTGATTATGTGAATATTAATTAATTGAGAATTAATAACAGGAAAATAGAGGTGAATATGAAATTTTAATTAATATTAATTAAATGAAGGCAAATGTTAATTAATTGAGAATTAATATAAGTGAATACATGTTAGAATTACATCTAAATATTTAAATGAAAATGAATGACAAATGTTATAAATAAATTAACGTGAATATTAATTCATTTAGAATCAATAGCAAGAAATTTATGCGTGACAATGAATATTAAATCATTTACACTAAACGAATATAATTTAATTTCAAATTAAGTGAAATTGAATGCTAATTCATGAACGTGAATAACGAATTATATGCTTGACTGTGAATTCAGATTAATATTAATTAAATGATTGTCAATGTCAATTAATTGAGAATTAATAACATGGAATGCAATGATTTTATAGCATTTGTTATAGTTTGTAAATTAAATATATATTAAAAATGAAAAATAAAGTATTATTAAAATA